AAACCTGGAATCTGCACCTGCAGGAGATCAGGAGAGGGGTTCATCCTCCAATGCACCTGCAGCAAGGTGAGACAGGCACAGGTGGGTGCCCTGCTTCCAACCAGCCTCAGGTGGGCAGGAAGCAGATCTCCTGCCTGACCTTCCTCTCCTGCCTCCCCAAGCAGAGGAGAAGGGGCAGCCGCCCATCAGGCCATTGCCCAGATTGAAGCCGCTGAAGCTAGGTCCCAACAGGCGAGTGTGACCCCTGACTATCCCAGGCCCGGCCCAAGGCAGTCCTGTCTCTGGTGAGGGCCTGGTAGACAGGAGATGTGATGTCCCCACATGGCTCTATAAACCTCTGATTGAGGATAATCAAGGAAATGGACAAGAACATCATGCCTAGTCAAGACCCTGGCAGGCACAAGGGGGACCGGGGCAGGCAAAAGTCAGTTTGGGCCCAGGCCTAGCCCCTGGAAGGATGGTGGGTGAGGGACCAGCCACGGTGAAGGGGAATGGATGGCCATGGGCTGGGTGGCCAGGGCTGTCAACTCCTGCAGCCCCTGCAGAACATCTGCCCAGGCCTGGCTCTGCAGTCAGCCTTCTGCCTGGAGCCACAGGTGCCTGGACACTGGCCTGCAGTAGGGATGGTGGTAGGAAAGGCACTTGTGGCCACATGTGGGTGCCTAAGCATGGGACAGAGGAGTATCTTGCCCCCAAAGAAACCATAGAGGCCTAGAGCTTAAGCAGATGTGACACCATCAATAAACCCCCTTGTCCTGGGTCACATCAATTAAGTCAGCACCTACCCTGACCCTGAAGCTGCAGCTCAGTCTGGTTGAGACTCACAGAGAGATGTTAGTGCTGGGCAGGGGGCCTGGCCCAGCCTGCGATGTCCAGCAAAGCTGTGGGCTGAACAAGAATCTCTGAAGATTAGTCCAGGAAAAGGACAGCTGTGTCTGGGCAGGGAGTGGGGGCAATGCCCAAGGTGCAGGAGGCCTGAGGACATTTAACTAAGTAGGGTGCCAAGTCAGGATGTGCAGAAGAGAAGGTGGCATAGCAGCATCCTGCCCAAGGCCAGACAATAAACCTAGGGGCCACCTTGTCGAGCCTAAACCATGCTGCCACCCAGATGCCATCCTTCAAATGTGAGGCAGGGCTGGGAGAGCCCCCAGAACCCTCATCCCTCCCACCCCAAGCTGGTTTCCATCCCTCACCAGAAGGAAAGGGGACTCTTCTATGGGGCACAGCATGCCAGGTTCTCTATCACCTGGGGGAAGGGGCCAGGTGGACGGGGAGCTGCGGCTGGGTGAGAAAGGACCCAGATCCCTCTCTGTCCCTACCTGACAGGTGACCTCGGGCAAGCTGCTTTCATTGCCTGGGGCCAAGGAGAGTCACAGGGGAGGGACCAGGTTAAAAGAGCTCCACCCTGGAGCCCAGAGCTACCCACAGAGAAAACCCCCCATCCTCCTGATTCTGCTCCCAGCTCTCGCTGCTGGGATAACATCCTTACCATTAGAGAGGCCGTGGGAGGCAGAGGCTGACCCTGCTCCTTCAGGCACCCCTGCGGGTTTGGGTCCGCCTTCATCATGATCAGGGAGTGGGTCCCTGGGATCACAAAGGTGAGGGGCAGCTTCTTGGGCTCCAGGTGCTACAAAGTAGACCCTGCAGGGCACCAGAGCTAGAAGGGTGTTAGGGAGGCTGGGCGCAGTGGCTCAGGCCTGTAATCTCTCCACTTTGAAAGGCTGAGGTGGGCAGATCACGAGGTCAGGCGATCAAGACCATCCTGGGTAACATGGTGAAACCCCATCTCTACTAAAACTACAAAAAATTAGCTGGGCATGGTGGCATGCACCTGTGCTCCCAGCTACTCGGAAGGCTGAGACAAGAGAATCACTTGAACCCAGCAGGCAGAGGTTGAACAGGGCCAGGACCTGAGCTCTGCCTGGCCATGGTGACTCTGAGCCAGGTAAGCAATCTGTCACCGTGTCTCATGGGGGATGTCAGCATTACCTCTGGAGTCAAAGTAGGTAAGCCAGGGTAACCAGAGTTCCCAGTAGGGACCAAGACCAAAGGATGCAGTGGTCAGTCCTGTCCTGGAAGGTCAGGCTGGATGAGGGGCTCTGTGAAGCTGGGGCGACTGAGGGCCAGCCCTTCAGGTTACAGGCATCTAGATCCTGGTCTAGACCCTCATATGCCATCCAGAGACCCAACCCTAGAGACAGTTCCTCCCAGGCTGGTAGCAGAGAGTCGATCCTTGTACTCACCCCACCCAAAGCTCTGACATGAGGGGGCCTGCTGCTGGGGGAAGATTCTTCAGGAAAATGTTCTCAGGGGCAGGTATGGTTTGAGCTGGGTCTTAGGGCAGCCAGAGAGGTAGCTGACAGGCCCGCTCACAAAGCCTGCCAGAGCATGCAGAAGGGACACAGGTGTAGTGGTGAGAATGTTCTGGAAGACAGCAGGCAGCCTCTTACTCACCAATGGGGCCAAGTACTGTCAGGTCCACACACCAGGAGAAGCTGGTATCCACACGCTGGTGCACTTTGTTTCTTGTTTTAGAGACAGGGTCTTGCTCCATTGCCCAGGTTGGAGTGCGGTGGTGCAATCATAGCTCACTGCAGCTTTGACCTCCTGGGTTCATGTGATCTTCCCACCTCAGCCTCCTGAGTAGCTGGGACCACAGGCGCATGCCACCATGCCTAGTTTTATTTTCTGTAGAGACAGGGCCTCGCTATGTTGCCCAGGCTGGTCTCAAGAGCCTTCCACCTCAGCCTCCCAAAACACTGTGATTACAGGGACAAGCCAGCACTCCTGGCCATGCTGGTGCATTTTGGCTGCCATGGTGCACAGGAGGTATGAGCTCTGGGGGTGCAGAGTCTGCTTCTGGACCTCTACCCAGGCCTGCACCCAGACTGAGCCCTGGGCAGCAGGGAACAGGTGTGGAGAGAATGCAGGAGGCAGAGTGGGCTAGCCAGTGATGGAGACCCAGGCTGGGACTAGGAGAGGTAGGGCTCCAGCCCTCAGCCTAGTGGCCCTTCCCAACCCCTTGGGGCCAAGATGATTTCCTAGGAAGCCAGGCATGGAGGCCAGCATGCACCTGAACTGAGGACAGAAGACTCTGATGAGAGGGAGGGGGAGGCCTCTGACATAGTTTGGATACTTGTCCCATCCACATCTCGTGTTGAAATGTGATCCCCAATGCTGGAGGTGGGGCCTATTGTGTGAGGTGTTTGGGTCATGGTGGGGGACCCCTCTTGAATGGATTAGTGCCCTCCCCATGGTAATGAGTGAGTTTTCTTCTTTTTTCTTTTTCTTTTTTTTTTTTTTTTTTGAGACAGAGTTCACTCACAGCCCAGGCTGGAGTGCAGTGGTGCAATCTCAGCTCACTGTACCCTCCATCTCCCAGGTTCAAGTGATTCAATGAGTGAGTTTTTTATCAGTTCACAGGAGAGCTGGTTGTTTAAAAGAGCCTGATGCCTCCTCTCTCTTTCTTCCTCTCTCACCATGCGACAGGCCTGCTCCCTCTTCACCTCCTGCCAGGAGTAAAAGCTTCCTGGGACTGTTTGCACCAGGGTCCGCACACCTGTCATCCCAGACCTCAGTCAGTACCTCCTTCCCTCTGCAGGCCCTCTCCCTCTGTCCATCTGCCTACTCCACATGCCCTGATCTGAAGCCTGCCTCCCCTCCTCATGGAGCCCTCCAAGATGCTCCTAGCCCCAGATCTCTGGTCCCATAACACCTTCTGGGCCCAGATTCTGCCTTCTCAGAAGTCTGGGAGGCAGGGCCCCACCTGGTCATAGTCTTCTAGCTCTGCTCTAGGCACTCCTGGCCCCAAAGCCTCCAGCCCACTAGACGTTTTCATCTCCAGCTATGCCGTGGCTCTCCTCATCCTGAGCCTCCTGCTCGTCAGAGTTTCCCTTGTCCTGGTGAGTGTCTGGCTGGGCCTGGGCTGCTTCCTGAGGGGCAGGCTTAACCTTTGACACTTTGAGCCTTTGAGCCAAGCTGAGGGGCGAGCAGGTCCCTTTACCCCCCTGATTCCCCCATTCAAGCCCAGCACCTCCTCATCCTCCAGCTGGGGCCACAGGGTTTGGGGCCAGAGGGTTAGGCCTGATCCCAGTGTCCCCATCCTTCTTGTCAAGGTGTTAAACTTGAGGGCATGCCTTGGGTGCTGACGTTCCCAGGAACTCAGAGCCAGAGACAGCCAGGCACCAGCCCAAGGTCACACAGCCAGGGGCTTCTTCCCTCGTGGACCCCGAAGGACTGGACTTGGGGGCTGGAAAAGAGGTGGAGTAGGGGAAAGTAATGCCTTATCAACCCACACAGGGAGCCCCACTCCCATTCCCAAGGTGCATAAAGTCAAGGAACACCCGTTTCCACGTCCATGTTCACACAGGGCACTGCTCCCACTGTTTGGCACTCACACCGGCCTCCCGCCCTCCATGCCACAGGTATCGGTCTCATTTACAGAGGTGGAAATGATGGCCAAAAGCCTCCCCCAGCACACATAGCTAGACCACACAGAGGTCTTAGGTGCAGCTGAGGGGTCCACAGTCTCTGCTGCCCCTTCTGCCACTCATGCTCCCAGGGACCACGCTTTGGAGAGGGAGGAATAAGAGAAAGCTGGGTGCTCACACATGGGGCACAGGGGACTAGGGAAGGGTCAGCCAGGAGGAAAGGGCAAGGTCTGATCCTGTAGGTACACATCACACAGCCCACAGAGTCAGGAGAGCCAGGGCCAGGTCCCAGCTCTGCAGCTGCTTGGTATGTGACCATGGTTAGTCATCTCCCTGGACACTCATGCACTTTGTGTGCTGTGTGCGCCTTCTAGAAGGAGCCTGGACCCTGGCTGGCCTCATACTTGCTGCGTAGGCTGCAGATCCACAAGTGCTTCTGCAAGGGGCTTTGCTTCTCCTCATAACAGCGGCACACGCCGGCCACTTGCTCTGTGGATAGAATGGAATAGCTCTGGAGGTAGCAGGTGGGGGCTGGGCTTGGGTTCCTGGCCCAGACAAGGCAGAGTACATCTCAGGGTCACAGGACCTTGGCAGCAGCCCTTGGCCCCCAGGCTGCCCAGCTGCCCACCCACAGCCCATACCTTTGGGTGGCCCCAGCTGCTGCAGTTCACTGGCCAAGGATTCACCATCGACACTGTGCTTGGCCACACTGGAGAGGATGAAACTCAGCACTGCTACTGTGTCCTTCATATCGCTTGACTCTGATGCACCCGTGAGTGGGACAAGGGGTGTCACTGTGGCCCCAGCCACCTCCCAGTTGCCCTATTAACTTCAGCTCAAAGCTCCCAGGCCTCCTGAAGCCACAGGCACTGCTCCTGCTCCACCAGGAGCTGGCAGAGGACAGGAAGGTGGGACTGTCAATGTCTTTCTTTCCCTCATGCTCCTCCACTAGGGACGGTAAGTTAAGGATGCTGCAGGGAGGGGTGGGTACAGAGGGCCCCTCTGTGCCAGGCACCAGGCTGAAGTCCCAGGGTTGCCTGGGGCCTGTGAACTCAGTGGGGTACTCACCAAACTTGACATCAGCTGTGAGCTTCAGGATCTTCTCATACTATGGGGAAAGGAGACCTTCAGAGGGTGCCAGTACCCTATTCACCAGCCCCTCACCCTTAGCCTGGATCCTGCAATAAGAACAGACAGGCTGGAAAGAAGTATGGGAGGTGCCCAGAGAGGTTGCGAGGCTGGGTCACCCATCTCCCCGGGCCTAGTGCAGAGCTTCAGGGCACTGGGGGTCATAAGGTCATGGGACAATGGGGTGCTGGGTCTTGTACTCACATCATTCCCCTATCCCAGCAGCTCCTCAGTACCTGGCTGCAGAGCAGCTGCAACTTCACAGAGGACTGGAAGGGAAGTCCTTACATCAGCCAGGCTGGCGAACCTCACCCCTCCTTCCCGGGGACTGGCTCAGAGCAGGTCAGCTGCTGATCAAGGTCATAAAGTATGGTAGCACAGGCTGAGACCACTGAGGTCCCAGCCCCAGAGAAACCACATCATCATCTACATCCACAGTCCCCAGCCCCAGCACCCCTCCTCCACGCAGACTAGACCCTGTGCACTCAACCATCTTGGCCAGCGTACCAATCTCTGCCAGGACCCACTTGGGACAGTCCAGATGACCACAGAACTGAAACCTCTGCAAGGGAGGGAGGCAGGTAATCAGGCTGGAGGGACGGCTGAGGTGTGGCCAGGATCCGTGTCTCCCACACTTCTGTCCAGCAGGGACCCCTGGTCCCCATCATAGATGGATACCCTCTGGCCTCTTGTTCTCCCCTATCACCAGGGTGTTGAGTGAACTCTCTCCCTGACCCACCCTGCCACCAAACCCTGCTCTGAGGTCTACTCCAGGCATTCGTCTGCTCAGCAAACATCAATCAAGCGCCTTCTCTGTGCTAGCTCCCACTCTAAGCGCTGGGGGTACAGCAGGGGATAAAACAAAGTCCTGGGCCCCACACAGATGGGTGATCTCTCTCCCCTCTTCCCCATACCCACACAACTCCAGCCACTCCGGCTTCCCTGCTGCTGCTCGGGGACACCAGCCTTGCTCCCGCCGCCATGCCTGCTGCATTCTCTGTGTGGCTTGCTATCCTTTATTTCATTCCACTCTCGGCTCAAGTGACCCCTCATCAGACCAGCCCCCCCCCCTTTTTTTTTTTAAAGATGGAGTCTCGCTCTGTTTCCCAGGCTGGAGTGCAATGGTACAATCTTGACTCACTGTAACATCCGTCTCCCGGGTTCAAGCAATTCTGCCTCAGCCTCCTGAGTAGCTGGGACTACAGGCATGCACCATCTCACCCGGCTTTTTTGTATTTTTAGTACAGACAGGGTTTCACCACATTGGCCATGCTGATTTTGAACTCCTGACCTCAGGTCATCCACACACCTCAGCCTCCCAAAGTGCTGGGATTACAGGCTTGAGCCACTGCACCCTGCCAGGCTGGCCCTTCTTGATCATACTTCCTAAAGTAGCCCCTCACACAAGGAAATTGTTGGGGCGGGTGGATATGTTCATTATCTTGATTGTAGTGATCCAAGAGCCAGGAAGATTTGATCTTTACTTATGCAACCTCATCTTTCCCTAACCTCCAGATGATACTCTCCCAGCTATGGGAAATGCATTCATTCCTGGGGAGCCATGCTCTCTCTAACCTGGTCTCTGCACATGCTGTTCCCTGTCTGAAGACACACGCCTCCCACCCTTGCCTCCCAACCCCTGGTACACAAACTCTACTTCAGCCAGCCAGCTCCTGCCATCGGCCTTTAAGGTTGATGGCATCCTCAGGGAGCCCCCTTAGCACTACACATACCGCGCGGTTAGGTCTCCGCCCCTGGAGCCTTAACTATGACTGCCAATTCAAGCCTCCGATTTCTCCTTCCCTTGGCAGCTCAAGTCCTCCCAGTGCCTAGCACACTTCATGGTATGGACTAGTGCTTAGAATGCACGGATGGATGGATTGGATGGATGGATGGATTGGATGGATGGATGGATGGATGGATGGATGGATGGATTGATTGGATGGATGGATTGATTAGATTGATGGACAGGTAAGTCTCAACCCCAAACTACTACTTTCGGGATCTGGAGAGAGTGGAGGGGCTTCCTAACACTGTGGAAGAGTGAGGCTGATTCTAAGCAAGTGTCCAAGTCCCACAGGAGGGCTGGGGAAGACGGTGTCCTTGGGAGGTCCTCTTGGGGCTGGGGAAGACCTGAAAGGACTCCGAGCTCCAGACAAGCCCCACTTCCTGCCCCGGAGACAGGGGCCCTTCCTCCGGCCAGGGAAGCACGGGGACTCTGAGCTGGCCGGCCTGCTCTGTCTTACCCGCCCCCCACCCCCGCCCCCGTGTCGGGAGCGGGATGGCGGTGGACTTTTCTCTACCAGACCTGCAGCCCTCAGGCTCGCACACACTGTTTGCCGAGAGGCCAGGGCAGACAACCTCCCCCCCACCCCCCGCCCCCCGTGTCCGGAGCCACTGACGCCCCCTCATTCCCGCTCCAGCAGCCTATGCCTTGCTTGGCCCCTGGTGCCTTATCATCGTGTCAGGAAGCCAGGGCCCGGGAATTTCTTTTTCCAGTCGCGTGGGGTCAGCTGATTCGACGATCAGGTGACTTGGACTAACGGACTCTGAGAGGGCGGGGGCTGGTCCAGTGAGGTTGAGAGCGGACCGCAGCCCACTGGAGGTGCCGGGCGAAAAGCTGGTGTCTCCTCCTCCTCTCCCAGAATCCTTCCCTGGAAAAAACCCAGCGCCCACCGCCAGTTTAACTGACAGTGGGAGTTATTTCATTTGTTTCACTTAAGGGGGCAGGATCCCGGGAGCCGGGGAGATTCAGGTCATTGCCATGTTTTCCACTGTTAAGCAAATAGCATTATACACAGCTGCGGGCTGTGGCAAAAGACATTTTAAAAACTATTGAAATATGCTGCACATACAGAAAATTGTAGCTATTATAAATAAAAAGCTTAATAAGTTTTCATCAACTGTAGACCTCACATAACCTGCACCCAGATAAGGAAATAACCAGATAACTTCTTCAAGTGCATGGGTATTTTATTTCATTTTGATGAATCGTCTAGGTGCCTAGCAAAAAGGGCTGTCATAATTAACATGCTCAGGAAAACTCCTTACAGCTTCAACATGAATAGATGCTTAATTATTGCCAATCTGATGGGGAAAAAATCGGTTGCTTAGATTGCAGTGGTAGTCAGCTTACTGGTAGCTTTGAGCTAATGGGTAATCTAGAACAACTAAGTTTCTGACATTGACTTGAAGAGGCAAAAACAAAAAGACAAAACAACAACAAAAATACATTAGAGAATAGACTAATAACCAGAGAAGAAATTGAATAGAGTCATCCCTTAGTAACCTCAGGATATTGGTTCCAAGACCCCAGAGATACCAAAATTCACCGATGCTCAAGTCCCTGATATAATATGGCATAGTATTTGCATATAACCTGTACACATCCTTCTGTAGATTTTAAATCATCTCTAGATTACTATAATACCTAATGCAACATAAATGCTTTGTAATTACCTGTTATAAAGTATTTATAAATGTTTGTTTTTTTATTGTTTTCCTTTTTCCAAGTATTTTTGATGCACAGTTGGTAAAACCCAGGGATCCCGAACCCGAGGATACAGAGGACTGACCGTAGTTTGAGCTCTGTCCTCAATTCCATGCCCATCCCATGCACCAGGTGCAGCTGGTTTGATTGCTGCAGGGTTTCAGGTTTTCGAAAGACAGAGCTCATGACAAGTAAACTGCTCTATAGAATAGAAAGAAACGGAAAGTGTCCCAATTCATGGTAAAATTGAGCTCATTTCTGAAGAGTTCTTTTACAAATCATAAGCACTAGCCTGTTGAAAACAACAGTATGTTAAGTTACTAGACTATCCTATACCATGTCAAAGAACAATTTTAAGAACATAAGACCTGTAATCATAGCATTTTGGGAGGCCAAGGCTGGTGGATCACTTGAGCCCAGGAGTTCTGGATCTGTTGGGCAATATAGGGAGACCCCAGTCTCTACAAAAAATTAGCCACTTGTGCTGGTGCACATGTGTCATCACAGCTACCTAAGAGGCTGAGGTCAGAGTATCTCTTGAGCCTGGGAGGTGGAGGCTGCAGTGAGCCATGATGGCACCACTGTACTCCACCCAG